TCCGGTACACATTCGCCTGGCCGCCGCTGTCGATGCGCACGAACTCCTGGTAGCCTCGTTTGATGAGGATTTCCATTTGCTAGAAAGCGTTGCTGTGGAATTGCTGTGCCTTCAGTGCTCGCCGCTTTGAATGTTTTTATAGAATTTTTTAGGTTCCAAAAGTGAAAATCAGAACTTACTCAACTTTTACCCTAGACTTTTTGAAATTCGAATTTGTTCTGAGATAAAAAAAGTTTCTCCGCAGTTAGCTCTCTTTGAAGTGCCATGCATTTCAATGGTCGTCGCTGCTGGTTCAACTGCGGAGAGACTTTTTCCTGGCTGTCTCCCGTCACACAGGACGTAACCATGCCGTACAGCGATTTGTTTTGATCGGCAAACGTTTGCTGGTCGACAAGTGGCGATCACTTATCATCACTTCNCTAAGAAGAAGCACGTTACCCGCGAGGTGGTCGACAATTACGAGTTTCCCGAGGAGAATCAGGAGATTGTTCAGGTTTGTTCTGGATATAATCTGCTAAGTCAAAGCAATGTTTAATTTATGTCTATGTTTAACTGATCAGGTTCTTCGTGGCTGTGGCAATAATTTGCATGAAGTAGTCACCGCCACCGGTGAACAGTACCTCGTGTCGATGCCCACCAAATTCAGACGATCTATCTGGATAAAGAGAGGTAATTGATGGCTGTTTTTGTCACCAAACATCGTCTAACATTTCATTCCCTCGTTAGGGGACTACTGCGTGGTGACGCCAATCGAAGAGGGCAACAAAGTGCGAGCCGAAATTACGACCATTCTACTGAAGGAGCAGATTCGCTACTTCAAAGAGCACAATCGGTGGCCGAAGGAGTTTAAGGACGACCACCTGGAGATGACGAGGCCAGAAGATGACGCCAAAATAGGAGATAACTCTGCCGAAGAGGAGGAAGAGGAAGAGGAGGACAGTGATTCAGATCTCGAGGATGATCTTGTGCCGAATACGAATCGAGTTTACTTTGACGAATCGTCAGAAGAAGAAGAAGATGAAGAGGACGAGGAAGATTCTGAGGATGAAGAGGATGAAGAGGAGGAAAAAGTTGAAGATAAACCCGATCAACAGGACCAAAAGAAGAAGCAGAAGGAAACCCTAGATACCTAGCAAAGCTAAGTGTCTGGTATTTTTTTTTTGTATAAACTTACACAAAATCAACATGTTTACACTCTTTTCTACTTTACATAAAAGTGAGCTCCTCGTTACCGTCTTTTGATGCCCTGCTGTTTGCCCACCATCTTCACCTTTGCCGCGGCAAACCTGGCCGCCATTCGATTGCGCTCCTCAAAGAGCCTGTTCA